AACATTGATGTCAATTACTGTCTACCAACTTTGGCTAGCAGCCAGCTCTTACCACATTTCTAGTAATTGTACCTCCTTTGAATTTCAGATACACAACGAGTAGTTTTTATAGCATATCCAGATGATCTCGAGCATCAGTCCTTTTCCTTACATTTTTATCGATTATGGAGGTTGAGTATTCATTCTTAATCAGAATGTTTTTTAAAGTAACTGAATTTCTCACTATATATTTTCGGTGCAAACGAAATAGATTCTCATCTTTCTCCTCTTATCAGGACAAAACTTTAAAAGTCTGTCAGCTATCCATCCCACTTTTGCCTTAGCTAATAAACTGATCTTTGTAGAGAATAATTCATTCGTTCGTCTTGAAAACTCGGCACCTAAAACAGGAATCAACTTCAAACTTACAGTCAACCGATGGACGAGTATTACTAAAGATTTCCAGGATATAAATTAGCTCAATAAGCTTCTAAAATCCCCAGATGTTTGTGATGAAAGACTATCGAAAGCCGCTTGAATTTATGCTAAATAAAAACGAACAGTTTTCATATTTGAATATCAGTTAAAGAATCATTGAGCGAAGAAATATTTACTTTTCAATGAGATCCTCATCTCTGGCTCTACTCTTATATATATAGCATTTTTTACAATACACAACAATTTACCAAACAAGTGGTGATATGTTCGTTAACAATAATTAGTCAGTGTCAAAATGTCAATGGGTTGATAATTAACGAAGAAAATCAATACACATTTAAAAAGTAGAAATGGATAGAATAAATTAATTTTACAAAGATAACACGTAATTAAAGATAAAGTGGTCAAAATAAAAATAAAATAATTTGGACAATTATAATTTTTAAATGTTTAGGGGGAAGGGGGCGAAGTAGTCCGGTTTACATATTCATGTAACGATGGCCATGGTAAGGAAAGTGGCTGTACAAATTTCTTCTGAACACATAGGCTTGGCTTCTGCAGGTGGATTCCGATTGCTTCAGCTGTCTGTAGAAGACGAACTCATAGAGCAAAGTTAAGATTAGTCGGAATGCGATAAATAATTTTAAATGCAGTATTCACATCAACCTTATGCTCAGTATCAACAAGGTGTGCTAAAATAGAGTTACGAATAGATCTTGTTTGTCCCTTGCTTAACCACGCTGGATGATGTTCAGAAATACGACGATGAAACTGCCTAATTGTACGCCCAATGTCACTGGCTCCGCAGCTGCAGTCAAACTGGTAGACACACATAGAAGAGGCAAAATTAGGTAGTTTATCCTTATTTCTCGAACATAGAATAGGGGTGGTTTTGAAGAGACAACGTACCTCTACTGTATACTATACTCTTTTAACTGCATTTTTTAGGCGCTGTGTTATTATTTAGCTGATGTTGTCACCGACGAACTGCAGTTTCATGAACAATGGTTTTTTCGAAATTGTTGCCATACTGATTCTCCTAGGTGCTGAAATCGTATTTTTCTCAATAAATTTATCTGGATAACCATTTTTTTCTAAGTAATTCTTTAATAATCTTAAGCTCCTCATTAAGGCAGTCGTCTGAACAGATTAACTTAGCTCTATGAACCAGACACTTTACCAGGTTACGTTTATATACCATAGGTACAAAACTCAAAAACTGAGTGTACTGACCTGTAGTTGTAGGTTTCCTAGACACACTCCTTCTTAGTGTGCCATCATCCCTTGCCATGGGGACGTCTGGGAATGAGATACTGTCATTACTTTCTTTCTCTGTGGTAAAGTTTATTGCTGAATGTGCATCATTCTCGTCCTTCATAACCACAAAAACAATCGGAATCCACCTGAAGAAGCCAAGCCTGTGTGTGTTCAAAATAAATTTGTACAGCCACTTTCCTTACCGTGGCCATCGTTACATGAATATGTAAACCGGACTACTTCGCCCCCTTCCCCCTAAACATTTAAAAATTATAATTGTCCAAATTATTTTATTTTTATTTTGACCACTTTATCTTTAATTACGTGTTATCCTTGTAAAATTAATTTATTCTATCCATTTCTACTTTTTAAATGTGTATTGATTTTCTTCGTTAATTATCAACCCATTGACATTTTGACACTGACTAATTATTGTTAACGAACATATCACCACTTGTTTGGTAAATTGTTGTGTATTGTAAAAATGCTATATATATAAGAGTAGAGCCAGAGATGAGGATCTCATTGAAAAGTAAATATTTCTTCGCTCAATCTTTCTGTTTTCCAAATGTCTAAATGGGGATATTTTCTATAAAGAATCATTGAATGCTTAGGCTAGGCGGACATTTGATTTATCACAGTCTGGAGCGTTTTGACAGCGCATACTAATGAACTCCTGTAGAATAGAAGTTACAGCCTACTGATCTCATTATAGGGTATATCATCCCAGGAAACCAAGTTTTTAATCAAATATCATAGTAAAAATGTTTGACTCTATAATAATAAACGACGAGATTTGTATCCACTAATCAAGTATAGATGTGGCCCATTGGCCTAAGCTATCGATTTCCATCCATTAAGTTTTTTTTTCATTTCTCGAGTTTCGAGTGGGATACACGAGAATTCAAGCTTTTAAGTTTTAGTGGAGGTATTTTTAGCAGTTGAGATTGTTGGCCTAACACCCAACCTTACCTCCTTTTAGGGCTTACTGTCAGCTAGGCAAAGTCTAGGAGTTCGCTAGCTAGGAATCAAACCAGGACTACGTGTATGGTTAGTGAGCATTCGATTATTGAACTACCGATGAAATGAGCCTGTAGGTTGTAGATTCGAATCTCACTTCACCTACTTCAGTTTGGACAACCAGATTAGATTATAAGCACTCACATAATAAGAGTGTCTCATAGTTTGATACGTGTACTGACCAGAGCGAATTGTTGAGTGGGTATAACAATATTGAAATGTCTTAGGCAACTCGAAGAAATACCGAATACTACTACGGCTTACCCTCAGATACATTTTGCTTCAATGAGTCACAAAAATAGAAGGAGACAGTACACACAAATATATCGACGTAACAAGGAAAATTGAAAATTGAAAAGAACAAGATCTTCTACCTCTGGCTTAGAATGTGGGTTTTGATTTTAGCCACATGCTATCAGCAGTACCAAGTAACTGGGTTCCCCTAACTAACCGATTCAATAGTCAAATATCAGTATAGGTACTACGAGAACTAGTAATAGTAAGTTGGATTTCTAATTAAACGATGTATTCACAATTTTGTGCGGTTTCTAATTAATATAAAACATGAAACATTGATTCTCCTTGATGAATTTGAATAAAGCAAGAACAACATTGTTTTGTGCAGAATAATATGGTACCATCGTTTATTTCGTTGGCTTCTCATCAGCTGCTTACAGTCTAAATAAATTATGAGGTTTATGTACAGAAAAGTCTTCACATACTTGCAAATTTTTCATGATGTCAGTTGACAAGAGGCTCCGGAATTAGGAAAGTGTTCAGAACATTACGCTTATATAGTTTTTACACAGGCAGTTCAAGTTTAAACAAAGTAAATGTATGCATACAATTGTAAATGAGTTGCGTAATAAAGACGAGAAATGCATAAGATGATGAGTGACTAATAAATTAGGTAACAATGTACTGAGTTAAACTCAAATTATAGAAACAAGAGACAAGCAAAATTACACTATGTCAGTGGGGTGAGTCTAAAGCCAAAGATTACGTAATCAAATGAAATAGAGAATAAAGACATCCACTTACCTGAACGGGGAAGGAAAGACTGATAACTGCTTCTTTCTGAACACAAAAATATGGTTTCAGGTGTTTGCTTTCCGAAATTGCTTCGGCAAACTTGAGGAGAATCGAGCTCCTTTGTCTACTGATAATTTTAAAGGATTCTGTGATTTCCGCCCCATGACCCGTATCGAGGAGATGTCTGGTAATAGCGCTATTATAAGAGTTTCTCCCCTTGAGAAGTAGGCTTTTCGGTACATGTTCAGAAAATCGGAGGTGTGCCATTCTTTCTGTCCTCCAAATGTAACTGCTTCCGCAGATACACGTAAATTTGTATACACAGTTGGAGTCAAAATGAGAAGGGAATCTGTCGACTTTTGACTGCACCAAAGAGCATGTTGTCCGATAGACGGGAACCAACTTAGCTGTAGGATAGGCTCTGGCTAGTGATGTATTCAGTCTTCTGTTGACCATTGCTGCAATATTTTCACCTTTAAAATCAAGTTGAATGAAGACAGGCTTCTTTCCGACTGTGATTTGTTTAACATTTAAATCTTCACATCTTCCATATTTGTTTATGAATCTTTGAGGGTAATTGTTGTTTTTCAACATCTTTTCGAGAAACGTAAATTCTTCCTCTAATTTCTCTTCAGAGCATATTCTCCTTGCTCTCTATAGTACAGAGTCTTGACTAGTGCTCGTTTATAGCTATTTGGACAAAAACTATTAATAATTTAATAATAACTTAATAATTTATTTAGGCTGTAAGCAGATGATGAGAAGCCAACGAAATAAATGATGGTATTGTAACAACAGAAGACAAGGGTCAGGCAACAGATCGTTTATTAAGGAAAATCAACACATATTTATAGATTTTAATGTACACTATTATAGATTATTGTTAGTAGAAAATACAGTCTTTTGATTAGTGGTTGTTTCTCACAGAAAGTTAACCTTGCATCTCTTTGTAGCTGTGTCAGATCATCCATATGCTAACTGTATCCGCCTACGCAAAGCCTTTATTCTTATTTTCTCACCACCAACATTGGGGACATAAACATTGACGTCAATTACTGTCTACCAACTTTGGCTAGCAGCAGCCAGCTCTCACCACAGTATCATATTATTCTGCACAAAATACTGTTGTTCTTGCTTTATTCTAATATGAAACGGCTGATTCATAATGAAAGGCTAATTTGTGATAAATTGATTCTCTGTACAACTTTCAATTAAACAGTCTTTATTTATCCTATATTAACTTTTTATCTGTCCAAACTAATAAATCAATACAGTCATGGTTACAGTGATGCGGAAATCTTTTCAACTTTTATTAAATACGATGAAGATGGTGACAATAATCTAAGCTTGTCAGAACAGCAACAATTGGCGTATGAAATTCAAATGGGGGTAAGATTAATTTCAATTTTTTATAAATTGCATTTCTCTTCAGAGTGAAATTTCCTAACATATTTGTATTACAGGATTTCACCATGAGCTGACATCGGTTAGAGAACCATTGGACCGCTGTTTCGTCCTAGTTTGGGACTCTTCATCAGTACGCACCCACCGAGGTTTGAACCCGAACTGACTTCAGTTACAGAAATATTCAGAACTTGGAAGTAGTGGACAGTCATTTCGTACTTGTTTGGGACTCTTTAGCAGTGCGCACCCATGACGACATCACTGGGAATCGACTCCAGGACTACTAGGTTAGTAGGCCAATTCGTATACCATTCGACTATTGGGAAAGAATCCAGTGACCCATCACTTCTAATCTCTGGCTATCCGTGGGAAGTTGTGACCAGTAGAGTCTACAGAGATGAGTGTGAGGACGGATGCTGTCCGATAATATTGGCTGGCGGTCACGCTGAGTATAGTGAAATGTCAGAAGCTAGAACCAACTGACCATTGAATTCCATCCAAATGGCTAAAATGTCAACGAGATCGCCTCGTAAGCTTAAGTTCCTGATTTCTGCTCCTGGTGGTAGATCCATGGATGCATAATGCTAAAGAGACTCAAGCAACAACGAAACAGATGTCCAGTCAGCACCCCCTGGTTTTCAGTGGTACTCCAACTGAAGCCATTTAGCAGTCTATCCTGAAATCAATCACATCCCTAGAAACTAAAACTTGAAAACACACATATTTAATTAATACACTGAGAAGTGGTCGCACTATTTCATGAATTGGCAGGAGGTAGAATTCATAGGTCATTGGAACGGGTGCCAGTAGCTCAATGGTCTACCAGCTAGCTTGCCTTATAACCAGAAGGTCCTGGGTTCGAACACCCTGTGTTGGATGCGTACTGATGAAGAGTCTGAAACTAGGCTGACGAAACAGCTGTCCAGTACTTCCTGGATGGTTTTCCAATGGTTCTCTAACCGATGTGTCGGCTCATGATGAAATCCATCAACTAATACATTTGTATTCTGTCCAATAAACTCAACGAGAAGTTATGTATATAGCCACAATCTATACAGATGGGACAAGGAGCATAAGTGGAGTGGTCCACCACTCTATTGGGTAATTCTCTGGTATTCTAATTGACATATGCCAGCTGGTACAATCAAAACTGATTAAGATGCAAGTAAATCCGATTGAAAATCTCAAGCAGAACAAAACGTGCATTTTGCATTCTGCAATTATCTACTAATAATCAAATGGCATGAGTATGTTGCAAGGCCTTCCAACTGCCTTAAAAGAAAGGTGTCATTAATACTTGCTAAAATATGGTATAATACAAATTCAACATAATTCTTCTTTTAATTCTAAACACGAAGCCACACTTAATCTACGGAGGTTCATTATACTACTCAAATTAAAGTAGACAGAATGAGCTTTAAAATGAGGACCAGACATTGAAGTCAGTGAACTACAGTGTCTTCTTTGTAATAGCCAGCAATTGATAGGATCAATTAAATACAGGAGTAAAAGAGAAGATTTGTAGCTCAGGTGGATGCTTTTAACTTTGTTGTGTTCTCTGAATACGATGGTTTAATTACGAAGCTTTCACTTTCTGCATAAACATCATCTTCAAGGTATATCTCAATACAAAGTATAGAATAGTAAGTGAAAGGAGAGCCAAAGGCATCAAAAGTACTTCAAATGTATTTCGACTTAATACTAAGAGTAATAATTAAAGGTTATTAGTGTACCAAAGAAGGAGATAAGATCAGTTACATTACATAAGAATACTTAAACTCAACTAATTCCCATGCAAAAGAATACCTGAGGCGACGTATTATTTATTCCTAGCAATTCTTCACCGATCATTCAGTCAGCAATCACAATCATTGTAATCGTCCAGTTACAAACTGTTTAAATATAAGTTATCTTCAATTGGTGGATGGTAACTAGCAGTGGAATCCGGCCAGAATGCGCATTTCGTCCTATCTGGGACTCGTCACTGGATGCACCTGCATTTCCCAGTGAGTGATGATGTTCCCACCGAGGCTCGAACCCAGTGCCCATAGTTCCAAACGCCAAAGCTTTATCCACTAGACCTCTTGGACCACGAGAGCCATCCTGGATTCCATTGGCAGTTACCATTGACCGATTACATTCTAATTACATGCCCAGACATCGTCGAAGCATCTGCACAAGAAGCCAACATGTCAACCTGAAACCGAGCACTTCGGTCCAGTCAATCGACGGGAAAAATCTAAAGTTCAGTTGAATAATAACTTATCTTTGTTTAAAAATTCAAATTGCGAGCCGCTTGTGTTTTAATTCTTATGAAAAACACAGCATTGTGTTGGACGCTATCACTTTTAACACACTCTACTTAAGGAAATCTTAACAGCTGTGGCTGATTGGTTTCGAGCATTCCATTTCCAACCATAGGGTCGAGGAGTTTGGACCTCACTTCATCAACCAAGGTTTGGGGAACCAGACAGTAACACTAGCCCTCATACTACAGATGTAGCCTACTGCTAACTGTATGAAAATGCAACTGGTTTTTCATAAATAATACCTAAAGTTATTAAATCTAAGAAATTAGAATGTCTATTCAAGATCGACAGGATTACTTGCATTTTGTCACCGGTTATTTAGGAAACCATACTATTTGACAACTACTCATCATTTTTAAACTTACGTTTGATCACTATCCCCAAAAGACTTTGTTTTCCACGAACTATTACTTCAATCTTAACCCAGTAATCACCTTAATTTCAAAGCGTAAAAAATACACAGTTTGACTATCATCCTCTTACTCAACAGTGAAAAGCGGTGTAGAAATAACAAATGCGTAAGTCGAGCTCCAAAAACAGTACTTGTGATACAGAATGGAATTTTCAGCATTAATCACAATATTGCATCTTATTTACCTCAAATTATAAATAAAATTAATCACACAGAAAATTTCCCACATTTACAATAGGGGTAATGTCAAAAACATGCAGCATATAAAATGGAAATAATAATAATGATAACAGCTAAGGTAATAATAATAATACAAGTGAAAATTGCTGTGTGCTTGTCTCACATAGTACTGTCGATGCACCATAGAAATCCTTGCATGATTAAAAATATTGAATATAATATTCTCTTTACATGATATGGTGAGGGAAAAAAACAAAGGTTACAGCAGTCAAAGAGACAAGTTGGTGTTTGCAATTATGAAAGCAAAACAAAGAAGCAACAGGACCATAAATATAATAGAAATAATAAAAGTAAAACTTGAAGGTATATAAGGATGGATGGAGGAAATTGTTTATTTACTAGATGAAAAAAGGTTAGTCAATTCTTGCCTGACACTATTTTCATCACATAAAATACGTGCCAAGTATGGTATCATAGAATTCTTATACTTGCGAGCATACAGTTTTCTGAAGTTACTTATTGTTCTACCTGAGGAGATGCAGGGTAAAAGCTGAGGGTAAAGTGGATGCTCCAAGTCATACAAAATCCCTTTAGCAAATTTATTGCACGAAGTCAAGTGCCTATTGACAACGACGTTAACTATGTGGTTCACTGGGACACCACTCATCCTACTGACCGTCCTCAGTATTCTACGAATTGTGACATAGTCCTTCTTAAGCAAACCAGGAAAGAATAAGGGTGAACAATAAAGAAGAATAGGTAGGATGCAAGAGTTTATGAATTGTAAGAGAAGGGGTTGAGTTATACCCAAGTGCCTTAACTTCTTAATGTAAAATGTCAGGCGGAATATTTTACTGGAGATCTCTAAGACATGGGAAGACCAGGAGAGATCAGAAGAGAGAATAAGTCCAAGATACTTAATTTCTGATTTAATTCCTATATCAGTGTCATCAATCTACAATAATGGAATTTTTGAGAATCCCTGCAAACTTTCAGTTGCATATAAACGATACATGGTAGCTTACATAACTTTAGTCGTTACTCTTCTTTGTTAAGAATAACTAATGAAATTTATTCAAGCAGATATTAAAACCTCCATAAACCTATGTAATTAGATTTTATCAACATTTTAAGTCAATGGCTGTAGAAGTAGAAGTGTTTATTCCTCAAATCTGGATAACCTCATTGGACAACTTGTTTAACCTTGGACCATTTGCTAGCCAATCAGAATAATTTATTCTCCCCTGACCTAATCGGACTTTAATGTGTATGATGTTTTTCCTAAATAAAAGTTCGTCACCAAGTCTTTGATTACAGTACTACCACATAATGAAGGAACATCAGAAGTCCTACATGGGATTCTGAAAAAGGCTAGTATTAGGGTGACATTTAAACCAAACAATTCACTCAGAAACAAACTTTATCGACTGAAAGGTTCGACAGATCCAATTAAGATAAATAATATAATATACGAAATACGATGTAACAGCTATGGGATCAGTTGCACAGCTAAAACTAGTATTTTAAGGTCAGTTAGGCTGTCAGAACTTAGGAATTTATTGGAAAATGGAAAATTCACCCTGCAAAATAATATAATCTAGAAAAAAGTCACCTACTGCAATGCATGCACTTGCAAGTAATGACACTATACGCTGCAATACAGTAAAAGTATCAAAAGGTAATGTAGTGAGGTGGAGAGATACGATAACCACTCGATCTTTGTTCATCTAATGAATACCAAACACTTACAATGAAACTGACGCAGCACCTATACTAGATATACAGAAAATTACAATGAATACCAGGGGGAAGAGAAAATATGTATATAAATCAAATTAAGAGGCTATGTGCATGAATTGATATGATTATGATCAATAATTTGTGCTCGAAACATCACCCAGTTATTAATACCTGTATCACTGTGTTATATATCAAATAACCTTATCTAGTATGGAACTATACTCTACCACAGAGCCCAAATTCTAAACTTACAATAAAAAGTTTTTCATTTAGGGTCAGGACATCTTAAAGAAACTAAGCAATTTGAAAGTTAATATTTAAGAAACAGATTTACCGAGAATAAAATGGAATTATTTAAATGATCAGGTCGAATGATGTAATATAATGTAAGGAGTGGACAGTCGTAACCGTAATGTAGAAAAGTGTAACGAGAAAAGATCCCATAACATGTCATCTCTTAGTCAGCACATTTTGACGATACCTGAAAGTTATCAGAGATGAAGCATTTCGTCCCGCGGTAATCGGTCAACAAGAAACAAATCATATCTGTCACACAACAGGTGATTCTACTGGCTAGGTGGGCAAGTGGATAATGACCCTTTAGGATTTCAAACAGGTTTGAGTTTCATTGGGGATGCCATGACTCCTTGGAATACAGGCATATCCATCTGAAAAGTCCTAAAGAGGATGAACTGTGTGTCCTGGATTCCACTAGGACTCCCACTAACCAACTATACCGACACGTAGCCTGACAATATAGCCAATTCGAAGTGTGTTTTTTTAATATGCTTCACCTACCTTGCGAAAACGACATAACTAAATAACCACAATTTCAAATGAATCTTATAGTATTCATTTACTGCTTCTTATCCTCAAATTACTATACATACATACATGTAAAATTATCGTTTTTTGTCTTTGAAATAAAAGCTAATCTATAAAAGTGTTGATCCGACTGACGAAGGCATTGTAATGGACGACGACCTTACTGGAGACTCATTGAAATCAAGGGAAGATGAAGACCATGTAAGTATTATTTAATTGATTAAAATTATTGAAAAGACAGAAAAAAAAAAGCCAATAACTATACACCTTTTGTACATATATAAACGCACGAACTTGATAATTTATCACAGTGTCACGCAAAACAGTGTGAGTAAACTATACTGTGTAAACGCTGATTGCTTCCAACCATCTAAAATGTGTAATTTGAAAGTGCACCACAATGAAAATTCTTGACTAAAGTCATGTTTAATCATGGTGGAGTAATCACTGAGTGCTTTGGAAATCTTTAAGAATAGTAAAAATAAAAATTAAATTACTCCGGGTACACTTGTAACGACAGAAGACAAGGGCCAGGCAACAGATCGTTTATTGAGACAATCAACAGATATTTATATATTTTTATGTACATTATTATTATGGGTTATTGTTAGCAGGAAACAGAGTCTTCTGATTGGTTGTTTTCTCACTGGAAGTTATTCTGTCATCCCTTTGTGGCCGTTTCTTTGAAGGTCAAACCACATATCTGCTAATGGTATCCGCCCACGCAGAGTCTGCTGTGATTGGTTGCTGGGTTAGTCTTTGTTCTTGTTTTCCTTTCTCATGACCAAGATTTGGGGCTTAAACATTGACGTAAATTGCTGCAGACAGCTCTCACCACATACTGACAATAAGAAACTGTTTGTTTTCCTGTGTTTAAACCATTTCAATCTGGCTAGTATGCACTACTGGCAGTTTCGACACATTCCTATCAGTCAACAGAAATATATATATATATATACGATTTGCCAGCTACACCTACCCTCTTGATACCATTTATGGCGTCATACAAGTGACATAATTGTGATCAGATAACTATGGGTTTCGATAAGAAACCATGATGAATGTCAGTGTCGAACTGTGAAATCTGTAAATAATGCATTCTATTCTCGGTCTTACCGGTTTGACCAAAGAGTTTTATTATATATATGTATAAACTCATCTTATATAACTGAATTAGTTAAAGGCACATGAATACTAATTGGTTACTTCGGTAAACTAGCAACACAAAATGACTCTCATCATTTGCAAATTACGTATTATTACTATTCCCTCAGAGTTCTAGTGGAGCCTAGGGCTTCAGGTGCACATGACCATTTAACTACCTTCTCTGCCGCGTTTTTTTGGCTTTCATTTCCTCCTCATACAATCACCACGTCACCCACAAACACACGCCCAACTCATTGTTTCGGATTCGGGTTCAACTCAAGGGCCTGACGAATGATTTCACCCAGCAGTTCCGATCCATCTCCATTTCCCTCTACATATTCGTTAGTCTATGGGTTCCTGGTCGGTCTGTTGCCAGAGTTCCTTGTTGCCTATCTCTTCCAATCAGCCACAGAAGTCAGACGTTTCCGAGAGCCTGCAGCTGGTTGTCAGAAATGCTTTTAAGTGACGCATGCACCAAGTCTCTGGGCTACATAAAAGTACCAGCTTGACATTATTGTCAAAAACTTGGATCTTGTTCTTTATGCTGAGTGCAACAGATTTCCACATTGATCTCTAAGATTAATGAAATTCTGTCTCGGTTTTTTCAACCCTGGCTACCCTTGATATCTTTATCTGCTGCTAGACCAGGTAAGTGATAGAGGTGACTTCCATTAGATTTGCTCTATTGTCGGTGATCGATGCTTGTTTTTGTTGTTCGAAAGGCATCTGCATCACCTCTATGTTCACTGTCTTCACTGCCGCCTTGTTGGTTTTCGCCTGTGTATACGTACACTTATATGCATGACTAACTTGTTGTTACTTCCAAGATAAAGGAAACTGTCCACCATATATCAAAATCAGTTTTTTTAAAATTGTTAATTTCATTGATTAACTCATTGAAATTTTAATTTTCCCATTACTACTGCTTAATAAAAAAAGAGGAATGAATTCTTTACTTTATACAGTATGTTGATCCAGAGGACTACAATGAACTGGTTCAGAATGTTGATATTATGGAAGCTACTCTTGTCTCGATTATAACACGTATAGATGAATTGATAGCAAGTCTAGAACAAATTGAATTAGCAAAACGTGAGCATAGAAATCAACTTAGTGGAATAATTAAAGATATGGTAAGACATATATTTATTATTCTGTAATACTGTCAGTTTGATGAAAAATGGTTTAGACGTTTTGTCAGTGTGTTATTCTCCTTTCGTAAATTACGTGGGCGAAGTTAAACTTTTTAACACTAGTAAGCACGAATGGACAAATGACCTTGAGCGCACCAATCACATGATAAAGGCGATTTTTATGAATAAAATAAATATATATTCATGAAATTAATGAAATAAAAGGCATGAAACTGTTACACAGGATAGCCTTCTCTGATGTGTGACAAAAATGCCTATAAGTTCTCGATTGGAGTACCAACAGAGTAATTTAATCACTCTCTAGGGTTTCCAACTCTAATCTTTCTTTAACCCAACCCTAACGTGAAAATATCCCTAAACTAACCGTCATCTAACTCGAACCAACCCGTATATCGCCCCCTATTAGGTTTACCTAACCCTAATCTGTCCTTAGACTAAGCTAAGCGTTAACTTAATCTTTCCCAAACCTAAGCTGAAACCTACCAGATATCCCATTCAATAAAGAAATTACACTTCACCATCAAAGACCACAAGAAAATTCATCCTACCATACATGAAAAATATCTCTGAAATAACAGCTAGAATACTGAAACCGTTTGATATAGATATAGTGCACAAGTCAGTCAAGTCGCTTAATTCGATATTATGCAAACCAAAAGATCCAACAGAAAAGGGAGATAAGACTAATACCGTTTACAAAATAAATTGTATGAACTGTAACAGGCATTACATCGGCCAAAGTGGGCGTCCCCTTCGAATCAGAATCCAAGAACACAAATCACCCGTGAAAAGACACGATATATATTCTCTCATATCAATGGATATAAATAATTATAGACATTAGTTTGATTGGGACAATGTCGAAATCTTAGACAGAGGAAACACCAAAAGAGCCAGGGAATTCCTAGAAGCCTGGTACTCAAACGAATATGCAATTAAAAAACACGTTAATATAGACGAAATATACCAACTAATAAAAAGTAAATCATGTGACCAGAAAGTTTAAAATGCAGGTTGATAGAAAATGATCAATACATACGTAAAGATGATTACCAGGAGACGCAATTATATCACTCATGAAGAAATTTAAATCATTTCACTTTACGCTAAATATTGCGCTGAAGATATTGTCCAGAAGGACGACGAAAGCTCCGCAACTAAACCAACTAGCTCAGAGAACACTATTAATTACAAAATTACACTTCATTAAGCATATTTTATTCACGATTACAATATTATCTACCAGGTTTCACTAACTTGCTCACTGAGCTTTTCAAGGTCAATGGCGTGCAGTTGCATCCCATTAGTACTTACTGGTGCTCAAAGTTTAACCTAGTCACTACATGAAAAAGAAATTAGAAAGGACTGTAGAAAAATATATGATGGTACGTCACATATATTAAGCTAAAGGGAATAAGTGGATCTATATTTGGTTAAACAACGTCATTTGGTCTTCCAGTATTAAATAACGGATTTATTTCCTGTTTCATCTGCAGAAGCACTTCTGCAAGCCAACCAGAAATCGAGTGACTTTTAGTGCTTTTTAGGTTTGATAATGGGCTGACATTAGTTAGAGAACCACTGGGCAACCAGGAAGTGTAAGATAGTGGTTTCGTCCTAGTTTGGGATCCCACAGGAGCACGCACCCACTGGGGTTCGAACACAGGACCTTATAGCTACAAAGTGGGTTTGTCCACCATTCAGCCACTGGGATCCAACCCATCGGTCCACGGATGCTTTCATCTTGAACTGTCATTTCGTCATCTGTTAATGGGAATATTTGCTACAAACAAGAAAAGCAAAAAGCAGTCATAGAACCATCTGGCTAACATATTGTTGAAAAAGCTACAATAATGACATCTTAATGCCAGTCAACTTCTCTGGAGGGATAGTAATTGCGACAAGGTTAATCCACACACCGATATGGTGATCGATATCCAGTCTGGAAATAAACCAATTAGAATCGGCCTAAGTAAGTGATTAATGTCCGGTATGGAAACTAACCAATCAGAATCGGCCTACATAGAATACGCCCACTGTTTTATTGATCATAGTTACAGGCTAATTGACATACAACCCCAGTGATTATTTGAATTATGTTATTGTGTAAATATACCGTTACTTTCAGCTCTCGCTTCAGTTGGAAGCTGAGAAATCGGTTATTAGTTGTACACGTTATTGGCGTAGACAAGCGATACTCGTTATTACCGAGTCTCTGTCCAACTCGGTGTCTTTATTTCAACTAAACATTTTTCAAAATATAATACACAGATACACCTTTCAAAAATTTATGAAATTTAAGTCAGGAAGATTATCTTATGGACGGTATCCAGCTGTCTGCCTCATGTCTCATTGAATAATTAAAATCGAAGTGGCAGAAGACATCCTAAGAAATCTAGAAATTATACTGAGCAATTGAATGAGACCAGAAATATATCGAAAAACTTACTTATTTTGTAATTAAAAGAACATGCTGTACTCATGGAAAGAATCTATTTTTATTTCAAGACTTATAAGTATGTGAATCAGACTTATATGTTAAAGTTTGGGTAGGATATTTTTGTTTGGCATAAAGCACAGTGATACAGTTATAACTTATTTCTAATTCAATTGTGACTTTCCAGTTGGTTGATTGGATTGAAATGTTCGACCTCCGTTGACAAGTCGACTTCTTGTGCGGATGCTTCAACGATGTCTGAGGATATAACTTAAAGCAACTTGGTGGGTTCCGATACCAGTGACCATCCACCAATCAGTCAATAGGAGAATCGAAATTGAATTCAAAATAAATAATAACTCACACCCATTGCACAAGAGGTGGTTCACGAGGCCTAGGTGGTTTAGTGGATGACGTCTTGGCGTTTTAAAGGACGGGTATTGGGTTCGAGCGCCACTGGGAAGTACAGATACAGCCACATGATCGGTTCTAGTTAGGACGAAATGAGAGTTATCATTGTAATTTGGTGGATTTTGACAAGCAGTGGAATACAGGATATCATTATTTTATTCTTATTATTCCCTTGAGTTCCGAGTGGAACATAGGGCTTCAACAACACATCTCCACTTTGTCCAATCCTCTGCCATCCTCTTCAGTTTAGACTATGATTGCCCACAATCTCTCATCTCCTCCTCCCCAAACGATCTCCTGCGTGTCACCCTTGCACTGACGAACAATTCTTCGCTTCTCATTGAGATTTCACTCGAGGGCCTAGCATTCGATGTCATTCTATGGTTTCCTAAACGTATGTCCGATCCATCTTCATTTTCTCCTACATATTTATTGAGCGATCGACTCTTGGTTGGTTTATTGGCAGAGTTTCTTGTTACCTATTCTTTCTGGCCATTTGATCTTCAGTATGGAGAGAAGGCAGCTGTTGACAAAACCTGTTGGAAATCGTTTTCGTGACACGCAATACAAGTTTCTGATTGACTTGACATTGGTGTTGAAAATCCGAATCTTGTTCCCAATATTGAGTCCAGAAGATTTCCAAATTGGTTTCAGGTTGATGAAAGCGTATCTCGCCTTTCCTATTCTGCCTGACTTTGACATCTTCATCCGTTCCGAATGTCTGTAGTTGAAACGATGCTTCCTAGAAAATTACAATGATAAGGTGTTCATAACTGGATAAGATACGTGTTGCATCATTCCGGTAAGAGTAATAATGTAAATAATATAAATTATCAGGAATTGAAAGCCTCGATAGTACTGCCGTATAAAGAAGGAATTTCAGAAGAGACTCTACTTGCCATTCTTAATAGGACTGACTAGTGAACAATGAATATTCTTTCCGATAACTGTTATATATTCAGAATAACTAACAAAATTGTGTTTTTTCTAAAAGAATGACGTCGAATCATTGGATATCGAAATCCCAAGATTGTCAGTAGAGTACAGTTCAAAACAGGCATTTGTGTTTTATAATATGCATAAATGTAACACAGAATTGAACAGGAGATTTCAAAAGTAAATGATTATGAATAACACCAAATATACAGTGATGAGTGCTCATGATTAATGTTCACATTGAATTTTATTCAAAACTGATTAACTTAAAATGAATGTTTGATAATATAAAACGACAGGCTGTAGTTGTGGTGATATTTAAACCAACTGACTCACTCAGGGATAGAATTTATCAATTTAAGGATCCGACAGATCCGATTAAGAAAAATAATATTACTTACCAAATACTGTGAAATGACTGTAAGATCAATCACACAGGTCAGTCTAGTAGATCAGGGTCAGTTAGGCTATCAGAACATAGAAATCCATCTCGATCAAACCAAAACATGGCACGAGTCAATGAAATCTACAACAGTTAGTCTAAGGCACGCAGAAAGATGTAGACTTCCTGGTTGGGGTCCTCGGGACGGTAAAAACTAATGGTTGGAAACAATTGACGACATGGCTCAAAATCGTTCTCAATGGCTAGTGCAGATGCATCCACTCTTTGTGACATGATTTCCAATGAAACTATAGTGTTCTTCGTTATTACTGTTCCTTTGTCTCACACCTCTGTTTACTGTCTCTACTATGCATTTCTTCTACTTTCCTCTCTCGCTTTGTGTGCTACATGGAGTGTGGCGACTCGAACTGCCGCACATATGTGCAAAGTTCTATGTCGAAAACAGACAGACAGAAATCCATCTAGACTAGCCAGAATGATTGATCCTGCTAAGTTAACTAATATAGAAAAAAGCTCGGCCACTGAAATGCATTCATTCACATGTAATCACACAGTAGGTTGGGATATTAAAAAGTAATACAGTTTGGTGAAGATAGAGAGGGGAGGGGGAAAGAAACGTTAATCACTGAATCTTAGTTCATCGAATCAACACCAAACAGGTGCAATCGAAATAACGCAACAACTATCCTATCCAGTTATATTCATGATATCATTGTTTGACAATAGCAGAGAAGAGAAACCAAGGTCAAACGAATTTGAACCAGCCAATCAGATCGCTCAGCATTACAAATAAATGCTTTTCATAATCTTCGTTACAAGTTTCATCCTAATTCAAGGTTAAGGTTAGGGTAGGTTTAATGTAGGGTTATGATTAAGGTTAGAAGAAGACTGGCAACGATGAATATGAGAAGCGTCCATTTATGAGGCTGAACAATGTGATTGGTTGGTTCAAATTCATTTGATTGTGACGTCTATCTTTTATTCCTGCCTATTATGCATATAAGAACATGTTTGGCAAGTAGGCCACAGAGTGGAGAAGAGCTTAAAAACAATATGCGGAAACATTTGTTGTTGGAAGATAGGAAGAAATTAGCATATGAACCCTTCAATTTTGACAATGGATTGATGTCAGTCAGAGAACCATTGAAGACCAGCAGAGAGTATTGAACAGTTATTTTGTCCTGGTTCGGGATTCATCGGTGGCAAGCACCCATTGGGGATGAAACCCAGGACCTTCCGGTTACAAGTCAAGCTCTTGTAGACCATTCAGCCACTGGAGCCCAACTGCCAGTGAGCCCGAAACTAGTGGGACGAAACAGCTGTCCAGTACTCCCTTTAGGTTTTCTATCTGATATCGATCCGTGATCAAACTTCAGAAAAAATGAAATTAGATAGATTAAGTGGGAGGCTGTGACTCATCTAAGTGTATACTTCGTCTTTGAAACTCTGCCATCTGAAGTCGCCTTTTTGGCTGCTTTCTCACTTATCCTACAGAAACTAACAAAGTCTCAGACTGCTATATTTTTGTATTCAAACTAGACTAACAATTTATATTTGACGAAGTGTTGGATGAAATTTACTGCAATCGTAGCAGGATTTAAATAAGTGGCCTGCAAAAGTTGACTGTCTGAACTACGAGACTTAGTTTCCAACCTAGTCTTAATTTCATATCGAATGTAGTAACAATCAAGATTCTACTTTCTATTTCTGTCATAATCCAATGTGATGTCTAGTCTTTTGTTTTTGGTGCAGACTGAATTCTATCAGTCACGTTTGCAATGTGGCCACCATTCTAGGTAGCTCGCCATCACAGTGCACTTTGAATTGTTGATGTTAAATGGTTGAAGCCAGTTGGCCACACGAAGCCTCCCACCTAGGTTTTGTTCTAGTTGGCACTCACCAGTCAGCAAGGCGTATCTGAAACCTCGAAGGAAGAACTCATATCCCTTCTGAGATTCGAACCCGCGTCACTCAGTACTGCAGTCAGTCAGAGACGTTATCACCGAGCTATTCGGGCTCGTGATTGACCTCCTGTAGGAGTGTAGTGGATGCTTCGACTGGACACACACAATGGTTGTGCTTGCCGCCGATAAGTCCTAAACCAGGACTCCCTGCTGGTTTTCATTGGTTCTGTAACTGATATCAATCCGTGACAAAACTGGGAACAAATCAAATCCCTACAAACAAATTCTTGATAATTTGATTTTATTGAAATTAGTAGAAAGAAAATTACTGCCCATAAATAGATTCACGAAAAACACCTTTCCAGACATGAAGTTAGGAACAGACAATTCAGAGAATAGTCCGTATTCATCAAATTCATTCACTTAGCTGTAAAATCGCAACTGCATATAATTATTTGTGTGTGCGAGTATGTACATTATGTTTGTCAAACAGAAATAAAAATTAGTTTGGGGTTATTGTTTACGTCATAAAATTATTTCAAACAATATGATGAGTAATCAAAACTGTAACTACGGGGTGGGGAGGAGGTGGAGATTAGACTAGGGTTACGTAATATGAAACTGTTCAGGAAAAAATGGAGGTCAATGAGACAGCACGGAAGCAAGCATCAAAATAGATTCGGTAGTAGGTGAAAAAAGTTAGTAGGTTAGTTGAAAAAACGATGATCATAAGTGTCATACGAAAAGTGCAAAAAATATTATTAATAACAAAATATTCATAACAGTTGGAATTCCAAGTATCGGTTTGTAGGGATTTGACTGATTGGTTACAGGATTTCATCATGAGCTGACAAATCGGTTAGAGAACCATTGGAAAACCTGGGCAGCTATTTCGTCAGCTTAGTTTGGGACTCTTCAACAACACTCACCCATCGGGGCTGGAACCCAGGGCCTTTTGGTTACAAGGTGAGCTCGTAGACAATTAAGCCATTGGTACCCGATCCAACAGCGACCCCATGAACTCTAACTTCTGCCAATTCACGATAGAGTCCCAGACTAAGACGAAACAGTTATCCAGTACTAGTATTCCCAGGTTTTCCAATGGTTCTCTAACTGATATCAGCTCATGATGAAATCTTGTAACCAGTTGAACTTTCAATTATCCCCAAGGTAGAAGGATGGGATGGAGAAGCTCCTTCTATTTGTTTTTTCTTCGTCTATTTCCCATCCACATCGCTAAGGCCTTGGCAATGCAAAGCATACGGAAGCTTACCGCTTTCGGGAGGCGTCTATTGACTTTGTTGATAACTTTGAATTGATTCTCATTGCATACGGAGTGACGAGTGTTAAATATATATATGTACAATTATAGTACTCCTTATTGATCCATTGTTAACTTTTCGTAGCCAAGCGGGGGATAATGTCCTTTGATTCGTTTAGATAAAACACATATCGAACGACCTATATATCTCGCTCCATAGGAGCAAGTGAATTAGTAGATACACATAGAAGTTGTCAAATGCGGTAGTTTACCTACAGAGTTGTTCTGTCTGTACACAGCTAAGCGAATGAATTCGCTGAACTGTTTGTTTGTCATTTTTGTAAGCTTTTGATAAAATCGTTGGAAAAAGCTTCAGTATGAATTTAGATTATGAAGCACAATTGTATGACGCTCTAAGAGTACTACTACTACTACTGTGGTGAGAGCTGGCTGCTGCTAGCCAAAGTTGTTAGACAGTAATTGACGTCAATGTTTATGTCCTCAATATTGGTGGTGGTGAGAAAATCGGAACAAAGGCTTTGCGTAGGCGGATACAGTTAGCATATGGATAATCTGACACAGCCACAAAGAGATGCAAAGTTAACTTTCTGTGGGAAACAACTAATCAAAAGACTGTATTTCCTACTAACAATAATCTATAATAGTGTACATTAAAATCTATAAATATGTGTTGATTTTCCTTAATAAACGATCTGTTGCCTGGCCCTTGTCTTCTTTTCTTACACTACTACTACTACCAAGTTACGCATGCTGTATCAGGTCAAATGTGGTATACACCCTTGTCTCATCGATTGTGAACGCCCAGCTCATGGGTCAGTGATTCAAAACCTCACAATTAAGCATAGTATTTGTACCTCTTTAAAAATACGCTGATTCAAATCCCTGACAAACAAAAAGGTGAACATACTGATCATTATTGATGAAATATTTCAAGAGTAACGGTTCAGTGATAAGGCGGCAAAGTTAAACTTTAAGCACCACTAATCACCAATCATCAGTGAGTAACCTCAAACGCACCAATCCCGTGAAGCAGGCATTTTTGCGTATGGAATACATATATTTATGAAAAAGATGCATAAAAGCTGTAGAAAAGTGTTACAGAGGATACCTTCCTCTCGCATGTGATAAAAGTAGCTCTCATTTTTAGGTTGGAGTATCAACAGAGTATTTATTTATTTTGATAAAGTCTCATAGTGTAATACAGTAATATTTCTTGAGCAATAAATTGTGCTCGAAACGGGGTCATCAGCAAATATCACTGTATAACACAGTGAGACTTTTATCAAGATAAATTTTACCCACAGTGGAATTATACTCTACCACAGTGCACAAGTACTATTCTTAAATCAACAGAGCAAGTTAACCACATTCTATGCATGTAATTATTTAGGTCTTCTAACCCTAATCTTTCCTGAACCTAACCCTAACATGAAAATATACCTAAACTAACTGTAATCTAACTCGAACCAACTCTAATGTTGCCTTTATTAGGTTAAGCTAACCCTAACTTGTCCTTGGCTTAAAGTGTAACTTAATCTTTCACAAACCTAAGCTGAAACTTACCAGATATCCCATTTAACAACGTAACACTTCGATGAGCATATTTTATGGGTGATGATAACATTATTTACTAGGTTTCACTAACTTGCTTAGTGAGCGTTTCAAGGTCACTGGTGCGGTAGCATTCTATTGTTAGTTAGTGGTGCTTAAAGTCTAAATTGGCTAGTTAAGGCATTAAACTGCTCAAATAAAAACAGCAATACTAGACTAAATATTCGAAGACTTATAGCCTAAATATTTGAAGTCAGTGCTACTATACGGATCAGAGACTTGGCGCGTCACAAAGAGCATCTCAAACAAACTACAGACCCTCATTAACAGTTGTCTTCGCTCAGTACTCAAGATCAGATGGCCAGAAAAGATCAACAACAGAGATCTCTGGCAATGAGCGAACCAACACAGCAGGAACCGATTGTGAAACAAATAGACAGGAAGAAATGGAGATGGCCATACTCTGAGAAAACAAACCATCAAGTGACATCACTAGACAAGCCAATGCTCGAGTGGAACCCGAAAGGGAAGTGGCGAGTTGGTCGTCCAAGGGTGACTTGGAGGAGGTTATGTGAAGAGGAGATGAAAGCGTGTGGGCAGACTTGGAGCCAGGCGAAGACTCTAGCAGAGAACCGAACGCAATGGAGACGCACGGCTGAAGCCCTATGTTCCTCTAGGAATTAAAGGAAACAATAATAATAATAACCTAAATAATATGACATGAAGATATATCCAGTCAATGAATTTAAGATCAGCGTAAGCATTACTGTAATAAGGGAGAGTGGGTGGGGGTGAAACACCTATTCACTATTACCATAATTTCATAATATTGCTTCAGTTGATTTTATTACAAAATGATTATCTTTTTCATTCTACTTTTACAGACTCAAGGAGCACAATTCACATGAAAGTATCTTTTCATTGTCTTTACTAAATATCACAGATATGAATTTCTTTGAAATGAAACACATTAAATTCCAATTAATTACACAACAACAAAAAACTAAATTTAAAACGCCATTTGAAATATGCTTAATAAATTTTTCGACATATATGTAAAACTTTTTCACTCTGGTATCAATGCAATTTCATATCAATAATTTGTTTACTGAATACATATTACACAGTGAAACAATAAGTATTTTACTAGATAACGCTTTGCACACTATTTATTCCTTAAAATGGAATCAGCTGTACTCGCACAGCCTTGAAACTTCATTCTTACTGGTTCTTGTCCTTCTCTCCCATTGACCTCCTTCGATTATCATCAGAGGAATACTTGTCTCCCCCCCCCTCCGTATATATACACTGGGATGACCAATGATTTACACCAGCCTCGAGATCCCACATATCACGTAATATCTTAGTTAATGCAAGCAATAATTTATCACCACCATCCTTAAATACCCTCTGGAGTGATACAATAATATCCTACTGTTTCGCCTTGTTTCAGATTACAGACACCTTTTGTAAATTCAGTTATGGTTGGCGGACAGATATCTACATCCTATACAGGTAAGTGCATGTGAAACTCGGCAGTAGGCAAGTTGCTGCTCGAAATAAAATCTACAACCATCCGGTTGGCGGTCCTAAGAAATGATGAAAGAACTATCCTTCTGAGAAACTGTCCCGCTTATGATTGGTTTTTTGCAGCTCGTTTCCCTAATTAGTTATTTGATGTTACCTACTGTAGATGCTTTTTTCACCTCTTTCAATTTTATCGTCCATCACTGTTCACCGTCGTTGGGGTGGCTTTTAGTCATCTTGCATTTGAGCACCTTTTGCTTCTCGACATGTTCAGAGGCCGCCAGTATCAAATTCCTTGTCTTGATCAGCTCAGATGAAGTGTCCAAAAAAACCACTGGCACTTATTAACTTTTGGTTCCAGGCCCGACCGAAAGCTGCTACCTTGACGTGGTGGTCGGGCTTGAACACCGCAATGACCCAACAAGCTATACTGGCTGGAACTTATGTTCCTGCAGGTCCTATCATGCCAGAAAGGTTGTTTGGATAGCGGTTAGACTAAAAGCAGTTACCCAATCCAATCCTATGACTTCAAATAAATCACAAAATATCATGCCGGATCGGTCGGGGTCCGGATTAACAACGACCGCGCTTTCTGCTGCCGTGTCACAGGGCAGAAGTGATAAATATGCTACTGAGACACACCAACTGAAAAACAACAAACGAAAACAGGCCGTGTGTGACCGGCCTCAAGCAGTTGCCCCCTGGGCTCTGCGGTCACGCAACCAACTTCCACGGTGTGGGCAGCCGGGAAGTAACAATCGCCCTCACAATCCGAAGTGCACGCGAAACCTCTCTAATCCTCACTCACCTTTGTCTTCATCTCCATCTCTATTATCTTACCTTCCTTCTACTAATGCAACTCCTCTACTTAATGGCTCTTCACTTCCTCTTCACTCTGTGTGCACTGATAGCGATGGAAGCCAGAAAACCACCATCGATAGTCTCCTATAATTGGTTCCAGGTTATCAACAGCCTTTACCAGTGTTTCTGCAGCTAACGGGATATTATGTGGCAGACTTCTTGAGGATTAGTCTTATTGTCAACTTCAAACACGCTGCTCCCTCCTTAAACAAAGCTTTTGTGTTCTCGTGTTAGGTGTACATCACTTTCATAGCTGCTTGTTTAGCATATCTGTTCAACCACATGCTTATACGTACACGAACTGGTGTGCGATCTGGGTCTACGCAGGTGTCCCTCAGGGAGCGTCAGTCTTCCGCCGGCATTCTCCATCTATAGCTTATCGCTACATGACCTATATGAACACATCGTTGGCTGGAGACAATTAGTGATATGGCTCAAAATTGTTCTCAATGGCTGGCGCAGATGCATCCACTCTTTGTGACTTATAATACCCAACAAAACTACACTGATCTTCGATACCAGTATTCTTTTTGCCTCACATCTCTGTTTAATGTCTCTATTTTGTGTTTCTTTTTACTTTCTTCTCTTGCTTTGTGTGCTACATGGAGTGTGACGACTCGAACTGCTGCACATCGGTGCAGAGTTCTGCGTTGAAACCAGTCAGTCAGTTAGACATCGTTCGTTTGGTGGTGCAAGTAGCCAGTTTAAGCATTGTCTCTCCTGATGTTTAAAGTTGTTGTTGACAAGGAACAGATGATAATCTGAGGAGGATTGTAAAGGACGACCACCACTTTTGGTTCATCAGTATCGAAATCCATAAGCACCATCAATATACCTTTTGGCAATCACAGCTCTCCTGCTTGAGCATTGAGGCTGCCTACTAAAATTACTAAATCTAAGCGTTTTGGCTTCAGGAATAAACTAGACAGCTTTCGACAGAACTCATCTTTTACTTTGTCCGGTTGAGCGTAAGTGGGAACCATGAAAAGACGTCGACGGGTATCACAATCTTTTCTTCTCTTAATGGAACCATTCAGCCAAACAGCACACATACGACTATCCACTAGAATCCATGGATTTTCCCGCCCTACAAATCAATGCTAGTCCAGAAAGACCACCACGCGAACTAGCCAAAGGACCCCCTAACAGCCGTTAAGTGAATTCTGAAGATTTGCCATGTTGGGTTGTGTGTGTGTGTGTGTCTCCGAAACACGACACACATCTATAGTTTGAGATGCTAGAATTCTGGCTAGTGAGGCCTGTTGTCTGAGTTGGCATAGGTCCTGGTGTTGAGAGCATGGTTTCAAGAGATAATCAGTAGCGTGTTTTCGGCTTTGATCGCTATAAATAGCTGCAAGGTCAAGAGAAAGTCAGGAACCTACCTGGGAAATAAAATTTCCAGTGTGTGGGAGATAGGAAGATAAAGGTGAATGATCACCAGGAAGGCCTTGTGTGTTTATGGAAATGTGTGGGTAGTTATAACTTACCGAGGACCAACACCGTGGAAGTTGATTTCTCTTTCAAATACCTGAAAGAGAAGGTGCGTTAGGGTTGCGTCGCTGTAGAGCTCGGGAGATAGCTTCTTCTTACGGCCAGTGTACGACACGGCCTATTTGCGTCAGCTTTTGGAGTTGTGTCTATATTTGAACGTGTCACTGCCTGCTATAGATCACTGCAAGGTAAGCTGGGATATACACAGATTAATAGCCTTCCTCTCCAGAACGGAAGAAGCATAGTAGGCCTGTTGGTCACCTGCGGGAAACAATCTTACTGCTGTCACATACCTATTTGCTAGCAGTACAACTTCGCCCTCAGACCACCAACATGGTCTCAGAGAAGTACACTATGCTGGCAACTGCTTATAGTCTAACTACTATCCAAAGCCAGAATCGGAAAGATACACCCTCATCAATCTGAAATCAGTTCGGAAATCTTCTGAACATGGGGCTTCACCAGCACATCTTCACTTTGTTCGATTTCTTGCTTTCCTCTTTAGCTAGTCCCACGATTGTCCATTATCTTGCATCTCCTCCTCTCCATCCCTAAACGATTTCCTCCATGTCACCCTAAGACGACTCACTCTTCGCTTCCCAAATGGGATTCCACTCCAGCGATGGCCTGCATTGCACGTGATGTCATTCGACAATCTCCTCAACGTATGTCCAATCTATCTCCATCTTCTCCTGCATATTTGTTGAACGACAGGTCCTTGGTTATTTTGCTGATTTTCCTTCTGGCCATTTAATCTTCAGTATGTAGCCACCAGCGAAGGCAACTGTTGATAAAAGTCTACAACCTGTTGGAAATGCATTGCATTTCGTAACACGAGTGCCACGTTCCTAACCCATTTAGAAGAACTGAATTCACATTGGTGTTGAAAATCCGAATCTTTTTCTTTATGCTGTGGCGGAGTGCAGAAGACTTCCGAAGTGATTTCACAGTGATGAAGGTGTATCTTAGTTTTACGAAATTGTCTGGCTTTAACATCTTCATCGTTCGTTCCGCCTGTAGTTGAAACAATGCTCCCTAGATAAGTGAAGGAAGTGACCTTTTTTCAAGTTTCTCCCGTTGATATATACATATGCATATATATATATATATATATATATATATATATATATATCACGAGAATAAATCGAAACGGTTTGTGTTTTCGACATAGAACTTTGCACATATGGGCGGCAGTTCAAGTCGCCACATTCCATGTAGCACACACAAAGCAAGAGAGGAAAGTAGGAGAAATGCATAATATAGACAGTAAACAGAGGTGTGAGACAAAGGAATAGTAATAACGAAGAACAAAACAGTTTAATTGGAAATCACAAGTCACAAGGAGTGGATGCATCTACATCAGCCATTGAGAACGATTTTGAGCCATGTCACAAATTGTTGCCAACCATTAGTTTTTACCGTCCCGAGGACCCCAACCATGAAGAAGTCTACACCTTCCTACGTGGCTTAGACTAACTGTTGTAGATTTCATTGACTGGTGCCATGTTTTCGTTTGACCGCCGCTAGCTCTTTTCCAGCCTGACCCTATATCGGCTACCATTACCCATCGAGGAAGGCGATGACTAGGCATACGTAACACATGTCCTAACCATCTCAGTCGATGTAATTTCACAGTCTCGTCGACTTATTTCCACTCCTTACCTAGAACTCGACGCCTAACCTCAGTATTGCTCACCCTACTGTACCACTTAAGACGGGAGATAGAACGCAGACACCTATGATCAAAGACAGCTAATCTTTTCATGTCTTCCGCTCTCAATGGCCTGGCCAGGTCTCACAGCCAGTCATAAAGGAGGTCGAAGTGAACTGCTGAGCAGTACACCCGCCCTTTGGTCGATAGCCAGCCGGATGTCACGTCTACGCCAGAGACGGCGTAAACTGGCATATGGGAAAATAGCCCTCTGTATTCGTACTGAGATTTCGTCAGAGATCAACCCGTTGGGGCTGATGGCACTTCCCAAATAAGTGAGGCGGTCAGCATGCTCTACCACTTCACTCCCTATTTCTAAACTAGGAGCCAGTGTAGTCCAATCCTGTAACATCATCTTACATTTTACAGGGTTCAATCGCATGCCAAACATATGAAGATTGTTGCTCAAGGTGTTCAGAAGACTCTGCATTTTGTCAGCGTCCTCGCCTAGAAGGACTATATCGTCTGCATATTCTAAGTCAACGAGATTATTCCCTGGTAGCAAGTCAACCCCTGAGTCGCTGAAGTGAGTTA